CCCCTGCCCACGCCCAAGAAGGGCCCCGGCACCCCCCCCCCTCCCCCCCTCCCTCCCCCCCCCAAACATCGTCAGGCCATTCTCCTCCAACAGCTTCTTATTTGCTTCTGTGGATCAAGCCATCCCATCCCTGGCATTTGTCTCTTGTCCTCTCATTACCCGTGGTGTTTTGTTTTTGCATGCTGTATTAACCTGGGGAGGCCCATATCCATTTTCTCTCAACCAGCGCAGTCTGCTGGGCGTCCTTCCTTGGGTGTCCTTTGCCCAGGACTAACCTTGTTGCCAGATTAGACTATCCAGGTTCATCTCTATTTGGGGAGCAGGAAAACACTAACACCCTGACTTGTAAATAGCTTGAAGTGTTTGTAAAAACCTGCAGTATGGCCTCTCCACTAGGAGAGCAGTAAAGGAGATTTAATGAAATGGCTTTGCGTGGTCTGTTCCCTTCCCAACTTCCTGGACCTCATTTGGTTTGGAGCCAGTAGCACGGGGTGGAACGTACAAAGCTGTGTAAAGGATCAGTTCCTGTAATGTGACCTGGGACAGCAGGTGTGTTTGCACTCTTTTCAGATGGAACATTTCAAGCTGGCATGGGATCCTAGGCATCTGGCCTCCCCTTATCACCGCAACTGCATTTTAAAAGTGCCCCTCTGCTACTGAAAGAGGTGCTGTGAGCCCCGCTTCCTAAGTAGAGGGTCATCCCAGGGGTCTCACTGCTGGGAAAAGCAGGGTCTAGCCTCTTTGTGCACTCTAATTTCCAGCCCTCGAGTCCTCCTCCCCCTCCTCAACAGCTCTCACGCTTTTCAGAACCCTCTGTTGGCAGCAGCAAAGGCTTTTCTAAGGCTGAGAATGGGGGTGGGGGAGCTACAAAGAAGAGAAGAGAATCGGGTGGATGAGAATGAATGAGCTGTTTCTATATGTGCACAAGTGAGGAGGCACTAATCCCTTAGCAAATGGGAGGCAGGGGGGACTCGCCACCGCTCTGACGTGGTCAAAAAACTCCTGAAATTAACGACAAGGAGTCTTGCAGGTTGCTTGAAGGTGCTCTGAGGAATTCTCTTCTCGAATCCCAAATGCCAGGACTGGTAGTTGCAGCTTTGGGTTTGCACATTTAGCCAGGCTAGTGCCAGACGTAGGGCTGCATAAAATCTCTTTCGGGGGAGGGGGGTAGCAAACAGCTTGTTTGGTTAGTGCCTGACTCTTGTGGAGTGAATCTAGAGACTCAGTCCAGTACCAAAGTGAGGTGTGTTGTGTCAACCCAACCCTAGAAGAGAAGGGGTAGCGCCGGCATTCAGCCGGGTGAGATAAATACTCTTGGTTGGGCCCTGCGCTAGAAACACAATAAAAAAGTGACAAGAAGAACGTTCTAAAAACTTTGAAGAGGGTGTGTTTAGATTCCTGTCTTGAATGCTGAGAATGGGTGCTTAAAAGTTTGAGAGCCTTTTTGAATTTTCAAATTTTAGCATAAAGATGACCTAAAATGTGCTCTGTTCTCCACAAGTCCTAAAACTAAAAAGAACCCAATTAAACCAACGAGTCAAAAACATTAGACCTGTTCATTTATCACTGCAACTAAACATTTCCAATGACTGAATTATTCCTGCACATCAGTTTTGAGGAATTTTAGCCCATTCCTCCTTACAGAACAGCTTCAACTCAGGGGTGCTGGTGGGCTTCCTTGCATGAGCTGCCCGCCTCCGGTCCTTTCACAACATTTCTATGGGATTAACCTTAGGACTTTGACATCAACTTTCTTCCACTTTAACCATTCTTTGGTCATATGACTTGTATGTTGTGGGTCATTGTCTTGCTGTATGACCCACTTTTTCTTGAGCTTCAGTTTATGGACAGATACCTTCACATTTTCCTGTTGAATTTTCTGGTACAGTTCAGAGTTCATACTTCTGTCAATGATGGCAAGCCATCCTGGTCCAGAGGCACCAAAGCAGGCCCAAACCATGATAGTGCCACCACCACATTTCACAGATGGGGTAAGGTTCTTATGCTGGAATGCAGTGTTTGGCTTTCACCAAAAATAATACTTTTCATTCAAGCCAAAAAATTCTATTTTGGTCTCCTCCATCCACAGAACATTCTTCTGGCTTATCCATGTGGTCTTTTGCAAACTCTAGATTGGCAGCAATGTTCTTTTTGGGGAGTAGTGGTTTTCTCCTTGCAACCCTGCATTGCACACCCTTGTTGTTCAGTGTTCTCCTGATGGTAGTCTCATGAACATTGACATTCACCAATGTAAGAAGAGGCCTTGAGTTCCCTAGAAGTTACTCTGGGGTTCTTTGAGACCTCCCAGAGGATTACACACCTTGCTCTTGGTGTGATTTGGTTGGTTGACTACTCCTGGGAGGTTAACAACGGTGTTGAATTGCCTCCATTTGTACACAGTCTGCCTGACGGTGGACTGGTGGAGTCCAAACTCTTTGGAAAAAGTTTTGTAATCTTTTCCAGCCTGGTGATCATCAACAAATGTTTTTCAGAGGTCCTCAATAATTTCCTTTGTTCTAGCCGTGACACACTTCCACATCTCTGTTATGAAGATCAGACTGTGATAGTGAATACCCAGAATTCTGTTCTTTAAATAAGGCAGGACCTCCCACTCTCACCCGATTATCATCCCACTGACTGAAACACCTGACTCTAATCTCCCCTTCAGTTGAACTGAAAATCCCAGAGGTTCACATACTTTTGCTGCACACGAATATGTAACACTGAATCATTTTCCTCAATAAATAAATGAACAAGTATAATGCTTTTGACTCATTTATTTAATTGGCTTCTCTTTGTCTAGTTTTAGGACTTCTGTGGAGAACAGATGATGTTTTAGGTCATATCTGCAGAAACATTGAAAATTCAAAAGGGTTCACAAACTTTTAAGCACCACTGTAGTCCCCAGGTGCTTTCAGGATGAAGCATCTCAGAATGCCTCTTGCACACATTTCTGCCATGCTGCCGTTGCTGCCAGCAGGCCCCATTCTCTCTCCCAATCCCGCGCCTTCGACCTGGCCTGGCCTGGCCTGCCTTTGGCTTCCCTTTCCCGGGCCAGGGACTGGCGGAAGGCAGCGGCCTAGGTTCCTCTTCATTTTGCGCCCCTCTTCCTCAGAGGAAGCCGGGCGAAGGGAGGAAGCCAAGCCCCGTGCTCTGCCTGCCCTTGGCTCGTCCTGCCGCTGGCAGCTGGGGAGCCCTCGGGCTGGCAGCTTGGCAGAGGGGAGGGCGTTCCTCGAGGGCGGTGTAACGCCAGCCTCGCATCCTGGAAGGGTTGCAGCCCCTTCCCGTTCCTCAAAAAGCAGGCGCAATCGAGAAAGGTCCAAAGGAGGACTAAACGCCACCAGAACCTGGCAGCCAGCACCCCACAAGAATCACAAGAAAGGGCCTTCTCTGGCCATGCATCGCGCCTCTTTGGGGGCCCTCGAGTCTGCCAAGCAGCTCCTGGGGTCTGTCGGAAAGGACGGTGCAGTGACAGGCCCTCTGAGATTGTTTTTCAGGGCACCGCCTGAGCAAGAGGAAGAGTGACCACGGGCGAAATAAAGCCCGACCAGTGCATCACCTGCAGGCCTCCCCCCAGAGCCCCCCCAGGGAATGGCACTGCAGAGTCTCCAGGTTTTCCCCAACTTCCCGGTCTCCCCTAACTTTAGGGGGCTCCCGCTGCAGAGAAACGCACTTGCAAAAAGCCGGCTGGGTGGTGCTGAGGTTGACCCCCCTTCCCCGTTTTAGACCAGGGAAGAGGAGGAAGACCAGCCCTCTCCGCGGAGACCCAGGTGGAAAACCCTCCAGCCCCGGGAACTCCGAGAGCGGAGGGGAAAGGGAGGCCTCTCGCCCAGACGGCCAGCTTCAGCGATGCCCGCTCGGTCCCCGCGGAACAAGGGAGCCCGCTCGGGTGAGGGCGCACAGCCTCGGCCGCCCAGGGGTGGAAAGGCGCGCGGCGCAGGCCTTCGGCCGCCCCGTCTCTTCTTTTCGGCCCCCAGGTCTGCGGCTGGGATGCTGGCAACCGAAGCCCGGCGCCCCGAGCGGGCCCTCTCGCTGCAGACCCGCCAGGAGCCGCTCAAGGTCGCGCGCTCTGCCTCTGCCAGGCGGCCCCTCTGTCGGAAGCGCGGCTCCGCGCAGCGAAGGGGATCGGCGGCAGCGGCGGCCGGCAACTTCCCGGCCGGGGACCGCCTGCTGCCGCTGTTCCTCCTCGGGGCCGGGGACGTAGGCAGGAGCCTGCCCGGCTGAACGCGAAGTCCCTTGGATTGGCAGGCCGCCGCGTCGCGGCAGCGGCGATGCCACGCGAGACAGACTGCCGGGACCCCCCCTCCCCCCACGAAGCAG